AGAGTTTGTGAGCATGCGGATAGGGGGCCTGAACCCTCTGGCCAAGGGTGGGCGCCCTAGGGAAGAATGGGAAGAAAGGGAAAGAAGAGAAGCGAAGCTACCACGTGCCAAGCCTGGGCACGGTGTGTTAGGCACTTCTGTGATCACATCCCCCAAGCACGTGGCCAGGGAAATGTCCGTGAGCAGCAGCAGCCAGGAGCACGTGTCTCGGGCAAGATGACCCACCCAGGCCTCCAGCGGGCAGGTGCTGGGGCTGGGGTCTGGCCCGGACGTGACCCCTGAAGGGAGGAGGTGGTGTGTGGCGAGGATGGAGGCGGCCGCCTGGGTGTCGCCTGCTCTGCCGGCCGCGGGGGCCTGGCCACGGCAGGCGGGCCAGGTGAGAGACGCCATGGCCTGCGCAGAGGCCCCGGTGTCTGCTGCCTGGTCAGCAGGAGCCAGAGGCGGCCCCTGGGCCACGCTGCCCATGCACAGGGCACGTTGACGCCCAACACCCTCTTTGATTATGGAGGTCCTTGTACAGGAGCGTGACGTAGCCCCATGTGGTTTTGGCACTAATCAGGTGAATTAGTGGGGAGCTGGGTCTGAAAGTCAACATCCCGTGAGCCGGAGCCAGGGCAGGGGAAGGTGTGGCCCAGGCGACTTTGGGGAGAAGGGCACTGTGGGGGGCGGTGAAGGCACGGCCGGAGCCCGGGCGCGGAGCAGGGGTGCGCGGCATTGGCTAACGACACAGGGCATAGTGGGGCCCCGGGAGGCGGGCAGAAGGGCTTGGCTTTCTGCAGGACAGAGGTGTCCTCTGGTCACCACCTGGGTAAACGAGCATTGTGTAAAGGGGGTGTGATGTCAGTGACTGGGGACAGCTCATCTGGGAAGATGTGAGGCTGTATCCAGGACGGAGGGTAGGTGTAGGGCAGGCTGCTCCAACCTCCTGGCGGGTGTGTGTCTAAAGCCTTCGAGCCTGAGTCAGGCTCCTGAGCCGGGGCTGCCAGTGGTTGGGTTTTCCTGCTTTTTGGGACCAGCTTGGTGCTTGACTGTTGTTCTTCATGGGGGGCCTTTCACTCTCCACCTATGGTCAAAATGCCCACGTTGGCTCCTGGGCTTTGGGGTGCCTGGAACCATACAGTCAAGGGGACATCTCAGGTGCTTATGCAGAAGGGACACGCCCCTTGGGAGCACACGTGTTCAGTTTCCCTGGGTGTCAGGAAGGTTGGACCGCTGAGCTCTGGAAGGCAGCCCCACCTCCGGCCTGTGGGGTGGGAGACCCCCTCCAGATGTTGGGAACACTCCCACCTTCTCCAAAGTCCTGGTACCACAAGGCATCTGCTCATCTGTAAAGGGTTCCTAAAGCTTTAGTTTCTGTTAGAAACAATGTTGCCCTTCCTGCCTCATATTCATCAGCAGGGGCAGCACAGCAAAGGGCGGGGGTGTTGTCCCCTGATGGGTGGCATGCTGAGCGGGTCACAGTGTCTCTGGGACCCAGCCACGGCTGCAGACAGGGAACCAATCACATGATGTGACAGACACTCTTGGGTGTCACCCAGGGCGTCCTCACCAAGAAGATAAGATACTCTGGACCCCTACTGACCTGAAAGGGGGGTCCAGGCAGGTGGCTATCTCTTGCTCCTTTGCCCAAATCTGTCTCCCCCGGGAGGACTAGTGAAGCAGAGGTACACGTCCCCAGGCCGGGCGAGCGCCTTTTTGCACGTACGGTGACACTTCACAGGCCTGCTTTTTACAAAGTCCTTGTGTCTGAGATACGCTGTTTATTTCACCGCAGCCGAATCGTGTCTGAGGATCCACACCACAGATCCCTGCTCCTTTCTCAACAGTGTCCCCAGCCCGGGTCCCCGTGGAACCAGAGACTGTCCCGCTGGAAGGGACTTGGGGAGTATGCTCAGTACTTCTCAAACTGTGACGTGCTTATGAGTCACCGGGGGACATGTCAGAGTGGACATTCTGGTTCCGTAGGTCTGGGTGGGGGCCCTGATGCTGCGCTTCGGACAAGCTTCCAGCTGATACGGCTGCTGCTGGCCGGAGAGCGCAGCCATTTACAGGCGTGGGAGCCGAGGCCGAGAAGGCTCTGGGGACTTGCCTCCGGTTAGAGGTTGGGCTGGGCTCTCCCACGCCTGGGCCACCCTCTCCTTTAGAGCCCCCTGCCCCCCGTCAGCTGCCATCCCCTGCGCAGGCCCGCAGCTCCAGTGTGAGCATGACCTCCTGTCTTACTCCCGTCGGCCTGTCAGGATGAAAGGCTTCACCTTCCTTCAGGGCCCCTTGCTCCACAGCCTGCATTTTTACTGTCTCCAAAGGGGTTTTTAAAGGTGTTACTTGTTCTGACTTACGGACGCCTCCCCTTCTCTTCTGGAAAGGTTAAAAATCATCTCTCTCGTTCAAGAAAAAGTGTGCGGGGCATCCAGGCTGGAGGCCTGATGCTGGGCGAAATGCAGTGGCTTGCCCTGCCTATTGGCGCCTCCCCTGGAGCGGCCTGAGAAAGGTCCCTGTGTTTCTCTCCCCCACCTGCCACTCCCAAGAGGCCGCGCTAGATAGAGCTCTGACTACACCTCAGTTTCCCTGCCCCTCGGATATCCTAGAGCCAATCGCAGATTGGCCTGCAAGTGGCAGGGAGCGTCCCAGTGGGCTAAGGGTGTCAGGGCTTGGCCCAAGGCCAGTAGGAGCTGGTTTGAGAGTCTAAGGAGGTTTCTACTCTCTGTCCCCTCCTGCTGGTGGGAGGGCAAAGTGCCAGTCTGGGGACAAGGCCATGCTGGCAGTGGGTGAGAAGCCTCACTGAGGCCACGCCAAGGCGGAATGTAAGGGGGAGTCAGGAAAACTGCCTTTTATAGACATGTTCTTTCCTTCCTTTCTTTCTCCTTCTCCCCCCAAGTTTACTCACAGCGGCAGTGCCACTCGCAGGCGCCCTGCCTGTGTGAGGCTGCCCTGGGCCGGCGGGCAGGCGACATCGCCCGCCCCTGCCCCCCCATCTTGCCTGCTAGTTGCCTGACCTGCATCGGAACCCACGGCGGGGCGGGGGGGGGGAGGGGGGAGAGAAGCCTTTCAGAGGCTGAATACAGTTGAATTCCGCGTCTTCGCTTCCCGCCTGCCCTCACCCCAGCGCCGGGAGCAGAGCCCTGCTTTCTTCTCGGGGTGAATGAATGCCGTAGTGTGTCTGCCTCCTCGGACTTCCCTAACCCTTTCTTCTCCTTGGCCACAGTGAACGCTCCGGGTTTTTCAGCCAACAGCCCACACTTGGCTTTTTGATATTTTACTAAAACAAAACAAAACACAACAAAAAACCCTACCCGGACAAAAAGTAAGGACCCCCCCCTTTCCTCCCCTGCGGGGATCCGAGCTCGCGTCGAAGGCTGGCTGCACCTGTCTTGCGCCCCTACCAGGAAGGGGTGCTTGGGCGGGAGGGGAGGAAGGAGGTTCTGCGCGCCCGAATCCGGAGAGAGCAGCCCGCCCACCCCCTCACCCGGCAGCCCGAGCGGCGTGTGGAGAGAGCCCCAGAAACCGGCCTCTGACGGTGCTGGCCGGGTGCTTGCCAAAAAATGCCCCTTGCATCTCAATTTCCCCGGCCGTTTCTCGCGCACGCACCGCTCGCCCGGGGGCCACCTGGGCTCTCCGGCGCAACCTCTTCTGCGCTTGTTCCCTGCTTGCCCAAGGCCGAAAGCAAAACGCGCCGCCAGGAGGGCGCAGGGGGCGCGGGGACACCCACCAGCCGAGCCCCGCAGTCCCCTCCCAGCCGGACCCAGCTCCCGGACTCCCTGTTACGGGAACGAGTGTCATTTAGATAGAGGACTGCGCGTCTGCAGTCCCCCTCCTCGCTCTGGGTGCCTCTCCGGGGTTCCTGGGCGCTCCGGGCGCCGTCAGCAACCCTGTGCCCCCCAGCCAGGCTCTCGGAGCGCTCCCCGGTCACCTCGGCCGCGTTCACGTTCCTTCCTCCCGCGGCCGGATTGCAGCAAAACCGGGCAGCGCGAGGGCCAAAAAGTGGGAGGGAGAGCGCCTTTCCGCCTCGCTCGCCAACTCCGCCTCCCCAGGCCAGACCCCCGCCAGCCTGACTGCAACTTTTCCCCTTCCGCCTCGGTTTCCCCGGTTTCCCCGGGCTCCGGGCTGCGGCTCCCGGACGCGGGGCCGCGAGGCGTGGGGCAGCCGGGAGGGCGCGCGGCTGCGGGTGGCGGCGCGGACGGGAGCGCGAGCCGGAGTGGGTGGTGGGTGGGTGGGGAGAGAGGAGGGGACAGGACGGGCGGGCGGGGAAGGGCGGGGGAGACCGCTTTCCTGCTGTTCCCTGAGGGCGGGGGGGGGGCGGGGGAGGCGGCCGGAGTGGGGAGGGGACAGAGGGAGGGGAGAGGGAGGGCGCCGAGGAAGACGCTCCGAGGACCCGGGAGGCTTCGTAGGGCTCGGAGCGCTTGGACGTTTCTGCAGGCGCGCGGCGAGTCATTGGCGGCGGCCGCCGCAGCTCCGCTGCATCTCCCTCCTCCTCCTCCTCCGCCTCCTCCCCGGGCTCGGGCGTGTGTGTGAGAGTGTGTCTGAGCGTGTGTGTTTTGCAGGTGTGTCCGTTTTAATTCTGCCCAGTAGGTGGGACTTGGTGACTTTCGCACCATTTTTCCTTTTCCTTTTTTTTCCTTTTTTTTTTTTTTTTTTTTTTTTTTTTTTTTGCCTCCCCACCGTCTGTTGCAACCCTGCAAAGTCTCGGAGTCGGCGAGCGCGGCTCGCTGCTCGAGCCCCCGGACCCGGCAAGCCGGCGAGCGCCGAGCCGGCCACCATGCCAGGCAGACCGCGCCACTAGGCGCTCCCCGCGGCTCCCACCCGGCGGCGGCGGCGGCGCGATGGTTTCAGACGCTGAAGGATTTTGCATCTGATCGCACGGCGTTTCAAAGGCAGAGGCCCCCTCCCCCTCCCCCTCCCTTGCCGTCTTTGTTTCCTTCCCCCCCCACCCCAGCTCTCCCCACTCCCCCCACCCCAACCCCCTCTCCTCTCCTCCTCCTCTTTTTTAGAAGCAACGATCGGAGATGGATGTCTCTCTTTGCCCGGCCAAGTGTAGTTTCTGGCGGATTTTCTTGCTGGGAAGCGTCTGGCTGGACTATGTGGGCTCCGTGCTGGCTTGCCCTGCAAATTGTGTCTGCAGCAAGACTGAGATCAACTGCCGGCGGCCGGACGATGGGAACCTCTTCCCCCTCCTGGAAGGGCAGGATTCGGGCAACGGCACTGGGAACGCCAGCATCAACATCACTGACATCTCGAGGAACATCACTTCCATGTAAGTCGACGCTGCTCCCTGCCCGCCTCCGCCGCGGCCGCGGCTTCCTCTCGCTCGCTGGCTCGTCAGCCTGGGGCCGGAGTCGGCCCTGTGCCTGCCTGCCGGCGCGTCAGGCTCGCTCTGGCTCGGGAGATGCTCCGGGCTGCGTGTGCAGGTGACTCTGGCCCTGTCCAGGCGTGATCAGTGATGCCTGTGTGCCTTTCCCGGGAGGGGACCCCCTGCCGGTGGCGAGGGCCTGGGGGGGGGGGGCGCCCAGCCTGCTCCCGCCCCCGCGCCCACCCGCTGCAGCTTGTTCCTAGGGTGCCAATCAGGTTCTTTTCCCCCCACTAAATAGCAACAGTTTGGCCACGCTCAAGTAGAATAAAGTAGATGTGGTTCGAGTCCCTGGCAGCCGCGGTGGCAGCAACAGCGCGGTGCTTAGTGTGGAGGGAAGGTGACAGATAGGGACTGCTCCGATCCGCCGGAGATGTTTAACTATTTCCTTTTGGAAACAGCACAACACGCTGACAAGTAAACAAGTTGCAAGCTGGCTGCCGGGGGTGGGGGGAGACTTTGGACATGTCAGGGCCGTCATGGATGCCCACCCCTTCCCTTCTCCCTGGCCTGCCCTCTCAAGCCCCATTTTTGGCATTTCCGAGACCCCCCCCTCCGATTTTTACCCTCCTCTGCATCTGGGCGCCTACTGCTCGTCCCTGGTTGGGCTTGGAGAACTGCTGCGGGAACTGGGAGCCAGGGAGGGGAAGGGGAGAGGGGCTCGCCTGTTTTGCAGACGGGGTTCGGATTCGGTCAGGCAGAGCTGTGTATTTGGGAGATTGAACTCTGGCCGGCCTCTGTGTGCTTCTGCCCCGCAGAAGTGAGACCCGTGGTGGCCTGTGCTGTCGTGGCTGTGTTTCCTTGGCAGGGAAGGAGGCAGAAGCATGGGCGGCGAGAAGGAGCGGCGGGAGGGGGGGCGGGGGGGCCAGGGAGCTGCCCATCCTTCCTCCCGCTGACCTCAGCCAGGGGACCCCTCCCTCCCTGCCATCCAGAGAAGGGTGGGGATGGCACTGCGATGGGTCCGGGGACGGCTCTCACCCACTTCCCCCCACCCCAGAACCCCTACCCCTTGGGGACCCCTGCCGTGGGCGGGATGCTGAGGAGGGCTTGCACTGAAGTCCTGGCCGGGGTCTGAGGAAGGCATTTGGGCGGACTTGGGGGGGGTGCGAAGCTGCCATTGGCGCTGCTCTCCCTGGCGCCAGCCCTCCCTCTGCCTCAGCCCCAGCGTGATGGGGCTGCAAAGCCCGGAGGAATTGCAGCTCTGCTCTCTCCAAAGCCCGCCAGCCCTCTTGGCTGCATGGAGGCCCTGCCAGCATTCTTGCAGCTTAACAGTCTGAGGGGAGTGTACAACCAAGGAGACGTTCCGGACTCTTGGCCCAGGAGACCAGCTTGACCCATATCTTGACTGTGCCATTCACCCACTCGCCCCCTTCACCCCGGGGCTGGCTGGAGACAAGATAAACAGCAAAGGACGGGGAGGGGGGCGGGCAGGAAGAACAGAAGGGACCCACTGTGCTTCGGCCACCCTGCAGGCCACAGCACTGCCGCGCCCCCGAGGATGCAGGGAAAGGGTCTGAAGAGGGATTGTTGGGGACACTCCGCACTGCAAGTGCACTAGCAAAGCTGCATGTGTTGGGGGTGGGGGGAGGTGGGGGCAGCTCCGTAGCAGGTCCACGGGCTCAGGAAATCAGCACCTGGGGGGTCCCCTGGGGGCTGGAAAGGAGGTGCCCCAGGTGCCCGCGTGGGTCTCTGGGGGCCTGCGAGCCTCGCCCAGCATGTGCCCTGCTCCGAGGACGTGTGCGTCTGTGGCAGGCCAGCGGGAGGCAGGGGCCCCCACAGCCACGCAGGCTTTTTCCAGCCGCGCAGACACGTCGCCCCTCTGGAAGCAGTGCTGGGGGGCAGTCTGGGAGGGAAGAGTGTGCCGGTCGGATGGGGATGCTGGGAAGGTTGGCAGCGGGGCCGCCTCCTGTCCCCTTTGGTCCGCGAGGGCCCCAGAAGGGCGTTCGTGGGGACCGTGAGCTGGGAGTGTATTGCAAGCTCCTCTGTGTGTGTCCCCATCCTTGTCTTAGGATTAGGACTCTTTGGCAGGAAGTCAAGACTCCTTCCCTTAAATCTACCCCAGCACCTAAGAGCCAGGGAACTGGATTCTCGTCAGAGCTCCTCTTGAGGGGCAGGTGGGGCAGGTCAGAGGTCGTGGGTCAGACGACCCTTCCTCGCCCCATCTTCTCCCCAGTGCCCTGTTATGTCTATGGCTGGTATCGACTGGGGTCCGGGAAGGGCCCTGCCTTCAAGCCTGGAGGCAGAGGACTGTGCAAAGAGGGAGGGTGTCGTGCTGGCCTGGGGAGCAGCTGCCACCATCCCCGTTTGACCCTGGAGGGAACGGAAGCTCAGGGCAGCGAAGTCACTTTCCCTGGGGCACACAGCCCCAGGGTGAGCCAGGCTTAGACCCCTGCTGGTCCCATCTGAAGCCCAGGCCCTCCACTCTGTGGAGCTGCCCTGGGGAACAGGCTGCAAGGACCGCCGAGGGCCCAGAGGAGTGCTCTGGGCAGGGGAGGGGGCTTCCTTTGCTGTGACCCAGAAGGGGGCTTGAGCTGAAGCCCGGGCTTTGCTGGAGAGGAGTGTGGTGCTGCCAGAGAGCAAGAGGCCCCAGCTTTCCCCCGGCCTGACGCCCTTGGTGCTGGTGCGTGCCCAGGGGTGCTGCTTGGGCAAGCCTCTGGGGCACGAGGAAGGGGATGGGCAGAAGCTTGGGGAACCTGGGGGCGCCCTCCACGACTTGCCGTCCTGTTCTGGGGGCCGTGGTCCTTTCAGGGGTGTGGCGTGGCCTGGCTCCTGTGTACCCATGGGAGGCTGGTCCAGGGCACCTCTGATGGGGAGGCTGCCTCCCCGTGAGTATCAGGAGGAAATCAGCTGCCAAGCATCAGGACAGAAGTGTGGGTCTCACCTCCACCCCTCCTGGAGCCAAGCTGTTCCCCAGGGCCCTCCCTTTTGGCCTCTTTGTGTGCAGGAGGCCAGTCCCTTTGCCACTGGCTCTCTGACACACAGTAACCTCACCTAGAAGGGTCCACGCGCAGCCGCGCCCAACCCAGGTTCTGACGTCACAAAGGCAGGAGGGTGGTGGCTGGGAGGCGGCTGCCTGGGCCCCCTCTGTAGGCCAGGCCTGCTTGGAGCTGGGTTGGACCAGCACACGCGCTGACTTTTAGGAAGGAAGGAAGGAGGCGGAGGGGAGAAGATGGCATCACTGGGCCGGGTGTTCCTGGGGTTGGCTCCCTGGGCTCGCGCAGACCATGGGCTCTTGACGGGAGTAGCAGCCACCAGCCGGCTCCGCGTGTCAGCCACCCCGGTCCCTGGCATTTGTGGCCCTCAGCCCTCCCTGCAGGCCCGCGCCCGGCTGGGTGAGGGATCGCCCTGAGCTTTGGCTGCGGGACGGGCTCCTTGATTCGCAGCCTGTCCTGGGATGTGGGGGCAGGCAGCCTCAACAGGCCCCGTGAGAGCTGGGAGGCAGGCAGTGTGGGCCAGGCCCTGGGCACGGTGGGCCTGGTCGGGAACCCCAGGACCGGGGTGGGCCTGAGGGAGGTAGGCTGAGGTGTGAGGAGCTTTGGCTTGTGATTTGGAAGGGGGAGTGGTTGCAGCCCCCGGGGGAAAAGGGTCCTTCCGGGATGAAGGTTGGGGACCTTGGACGGCAGAAGCCCTGGGATTTGGCCAGGAGGCTGGATTGTGATGGGTGGTGGGCTCCTGGCCTCCCTTGGAGGGACCTCCCTGCAGCCAGAGGCTTCAGCCCCTGAAAGCCAAGGCCAGTCCTCCGAGGGTCCTAGGGCGTGAGCTCAGCAGCACCAGGGGACGGGGCACATGACAGCTCGGGGCAGCACCAGCCCAGCCTGACCCGAGCTGTGAGAGCCCTTGTGAGCTGGACCCCGGAGGGCGGCGCCTGGAGCCGCGGAGGCGGCCCTGCTGCTGTGAAGGGGAGGGGCCGGCCTGCTCCCTGGGTGCTCTCCACCCTCGCCCTGCCTGTGCCTGTCAGCTGTCTCCTTCTGTCTGACCATCGGGTGGGCCAGCCCCCCACCCCCGCCGCCTCCCCCCTGCCGCTGGCTCCTGGGCGGCTCGGGTGGTGTGTGGTCCCCCTCCGATGGCCCCTGCCAGCACTTGGCATCTCCACTGCCGCCTGGGGTCCCCGCCTCAAGTGCTCCATTGAATGGCTTGTCCCGGGATCCCCTCGGGCCTCCAGTCAGCCGGTGGTAGGTGGATTCAGGACGGACAGGGACGGGATCCATGAGTCCCTTGCTGGGTTCCGGCCATAACCTGTTGGGAGCCACAGTGGACAGCTGTAGCCCTTCTGAGCCTGTCATTTCAACTGGGAATCGAGGTCCTTCCACCTTGGGCACACAGCATCCCAGGGCCTGAGGAGTGTAGCCGAGGTAGCTCTGCATGCCCCCCACCTTCAGGATTGGTGCTAAGCCCTGTGGCGCCCCCTTGCTGGCCATGGGCTGCCGGCCGTCCCTGGAGAGCCCTGGGCCACACCGTGCAGACTCCGTGGTGCAGACCAAGGCCGCACGCAGTGGGGGGGCGAGGGCCCACAGCCTCTCTGAGGGGCCGCCCCGGCCCCCTGGGCCCCGCAGGCGGCCCTGCAAAGCCGCAGATCGCTGCCAGGCAGGGGTCTCTGCTGGGCGGGAGAGGACAGTGTCAGAACTTTGATTTCAGATTATTCCTCTCTAGAAAAGGGAATATTTAATATATGGATTGAAGCATGTGATTTAATAAGTATGAGTGTGTGGGGGTTATGGGAGGAATTTTTTCATCGCTAAAGCAAACTTAATCAAAAAATGCTCGGTGCCCAGGGTTGTGCTTGGAAGGGTCTCAGCTTGAGGGGAGAGGGTGGCCAGGAGAGGTCACCCTGAAGCCCTGGCGCCCCTCTGGGCTCTGTTCCAAGGGGAGGTTGAGCAATTGAGAGGGGGCAGGGGTGACGTGAGGAG